TGCTACCTATAATAATAATATAAGGTTCCTCCCTGTACAAGCTTTAATACGCCCCTAAACTAGCGCAGTTATAAATAAGGACCTTAATATAATAAAAATTAATTTAAATTATGCTCTAGTTAGTTTTAGAAAGCATAAAGATTATAAAAAAAAAAGTTAATACTTTAAGTGTAGTAAGCATAGTTATATTTTTTAAAACTACTTTATTCTTCTTTTTTAAGTCTGTATAAGTAGTGCTGCTAGCACTTATTAAAAATTTTTACTATTTTAATTTTATTTTTATAAGGGCTTTAACTTATATTTAAGCTTTAATCTTTTTTACTACTCTTAACATAGCCGCAGCTATAGCAGTAGGAGCCTGCAAAAAGGCTTGTCCTAAAGCTAAGTTGCCCTCTAAGACTAATTTAACACTAGATCTCTGCTAACTTATAAGCTAAGTCCCCTACTAATAACTAGAAGTACTAAGTTAATATTTTTATATATTTATAATAAGAAACTATATTAGCTTTAATATAAGCTCTTATTAACTTAAAAGTAAATAGTATAAGTTATATTAATAAAAAACTAGCGTGTAAACTAAATCTTTAATTAACACTACTTACCTAAATAATTTACTTAACTAGATTTAATAAAAAATAACTTAAAAAAGTTTTATCTTTTATACTATAACTATTATAATTACTTACTAACACTATAAGAAGCAGATTAAGCTTTATGTAATAAACATAGAATGTTATAACCTAATCCTAGAATAACTATAGCTGTATTAGCATAAGGTTGCCTTTAATTACTAAGAGTAAGTTCTAAACTTTAACTTTTTCTAATGCTAAGATATATGCTTACACTTACACCTAAACAACACTTAAATAGCACTTAATATAAAAGGTTTTTAAACTTACTTCTTAATAACCTAGAAAAGAACTACTTAAGTAAAGCTAATAAGCTAAGCCTTTTACTAAAATAAGCTATGTAAAATAATTTAATAACTGCTTAAACTTAAAAAAAAAAGCCTTTAAAAAACTTTTACTTACTTAATTTAAACATAAACTAGAACTTAAATAGTAAATAGACATCTGCTACATAGAACCTGCTCTGTTTATAACTCTAGCTTAATAACTAGATTATAAAATCTACGCAGTTATAATTTCTAATATAGACTAAGCTTTAGCTTTTTAAAAATACACTAACTTAAAAATAATAGTCTCTTAAGACTACTATAACTTGTTACATGTTTTCTTTTAAGACAAGTCTAATAAGCTTTTAATATAACATCTATATAATTACTAGATAACCTTTAAGCCTAGTAAACAACCTAGTTATAGGCTACTATATAAAATGTTACTAAATAAATTAAAAGTGCTTTAAAAATACTTTAATAAAAACTTAAAAAAAAAGTTTATTTAAGCTAGCTTCTTACTAGTAGTGTTACTTATACTATTTATAAAGAAACTTAGAAGTAGGCTTTAATTCTATGTTAACTACTAAGAACTAAACACTATTACTATTAAAAACTAATACTTAATTCTTCTTTTACAGGAAACTTTAAGCTAACTAAGTAAAGTAAAGTATTTTATAAAGTTAAATATTATTACTACCTTTAATAAGCTAAGAATAGTAAAAGGTAA